CCCCAAAACCCCAAAACCCCTTGCTCAAAGTAACTTAGTTAGAGGAAATATAAATAAATAAAATGCTTTTGGTTTGAATTAATGAAAAGCCTGCACATAATATTTCCAAGTTATGATTTACTATGATTTGAAAGATTTATAATAAATATCTTTAGCAATAATGGATTCTTAAAAGTTAAATAAGATAATTGTAGTTGGAGACAGCTGTGAAGATCTCTTTTTCAAAGTTGACAGGATACCTGCAGTTGGAGAGACTCTTGATGCTTAGGGCTCTTCCAAATCTTTTGGGGGTAAAGGAGCTAATCAGGCAGTTGGAGTGGCAAGACTTGGCTATCAAGTTGAAATGCTTTCATAACTTGGTAATGATTCACAAGGTAGACAACTTAAAGCATTGTTTGAGGAGTACGGAGTTCAAACCTATAATATGAAGTTACTGGATAGTGTAGACACGGGAATAGGATTTATTCTTCAACTGAGATCTGGCAATAATGTTGTGATCTCAGTGGGAGGAGCTAACACAGCTTATGATAAAGATATGACTACATTTGACTCTGAATGGGTCTAGGCAATCTAAAGTTCAAAGATTTTACTGCTTTAGAGATTAATCCCAGACTATGTGAATCTAGTAGCAGCTAAGATTGCTAAAGAAGCAGGAGTTACTGTTATTCTTGACGTTGGTGGAATGCAATCACATGTTCTTCCTGAACTGATTAAGTTCGTTGATTATATCTCTCCAAATGAAACTGAAGTTGCAAGAATGCTTGGCTTATAGCTTACTGGTGACAAAGCTGAATTAGATTAGGAACTAGAAAGATTTATTAGAAAGTATCCTCATGTTAAAGTTGTACTCAAGTTGGGTGAGAAAGGCTGCTCTTATTTATGGCTTGAAAATGATGAGATTAAATCTATTTCAAAGGTAGCTTATAGTTTCAGTGATTATCCAGAACTTCAATTGGCTGATACTGCTGGAGCAGGTGATAGCTACATGGCTGGTTTTGCCTGTAAATTACTCGATGAATGCTCAATTGAAGAGTGTATGGAATATGGGAATAAGTGTGGATTCTTGTGTGTTAGTAAGGCTGGAACTATGAATGCAGTTCCATCAAAAGAAGAAATAGAAAAAACCTTCTCTAAATGATCAAATTGAAAAAAAATTTATGTTAAAGCTCTCAAAAATAGTTATTTTGCTTTTGAATTTCTGCAATAATGTTTTTATCAACATTAGGGGTTTTGGGGTTTTGGGG